ATTTTTTTTAACCAGCAGATATTTTTCCACTTCTGAACTGTTAATGAGACAAAAATATCTTAACAAAAAGTTAAAATTTCTGTTTTTCATTTCTCTAAGAATTTAGTGGTACTAATTTACCTCAATAAAGCAGCAGTAGCAAGTCAATTAAGTTCACCAAGCTAATACTAGATTAATGGGTTTGCTCACCTACAGTAACCTGTAATAAGTTAAACAATTCCAGGCTCTTACCAAAGACTAATACACCTCACAAATTTAATCATTTTACATCAGATTTATAAACTGTCACAAATACTTTTCTGGTGAAATTAACATTAAAAAACATGATTTTTTTCTAATCTATATTTGAAATATTTTCAAAGGTAATCTGATTGTGTGACTGTATGTACACATGTGAGCCACCACATTCAATGATTATTAATTTTATCTAATTATCCAATAAAGCCATTCAGAGAACATGCACCGATACAAAAGATTAGAACAATGAGAAGAATACGTTCTGCAGTCTATACTATTACAGACATATTACTTATTATGACTCAATAAAGACTTCTAACTGCATACTTGACTGACTGTTCAGGTATGGCTGAATGAACACTCCAGGTTAACTTTACTGAATAACCTGTGTAGTGTTTTACAGAGCACTGTTTTGTAACCATCATTCTGCAGACAGGCGTTGGTCTATAACAACCACCTCATTTTAAATAAATAATAAGCTGATAAAAATTATGTTGAATTAATTAAATGATAAAATATGTCAAAAGGAGATGTTATTGTTTTTACTACAGCACTGTTTTTCAATCACCGTGCTAAAGTTATGGGTTGGAGGGCCTCAAACGTTTTTATTCATATCAAGGTAGCCTCAGAGTAAATGAGTTTGGGAACCACTGGTCTAGAGAGCATTTTGGCTAGGTTCTGATGAAAACTGTTATGAGGAAGATGAAATGTCTCACAAACTCCAGTAACCAAGAATCTTGTCAACTGAAATGCTTATTATCTTTCTCACTATATCAGTCAAATGTTTTTCCATAACTGGTGTTTACAGCCATCAGAAAGTTCACTCTTACCCATGGTCTAAAGCATCCAATGGATTCATCTGTTCATAGTAATATAGAATTACTAATGACCTACTTAAACCAGATTTCATTGTTACTCTTAATCAAATCTTAAACTATACATTCCTTTTTCTTAATTTAATCGTTTTAATATAATTAAAATTTTCAACATTATTTTTTTGTTTTTATAGTTGATAGCAGATTTTGCAATAAATTCTATTTAATCAAAGCAGGGTTGTTCATTAATTTTGTTTTTTCCAAAGGAATCCTACATATATAAACTTACCAAGTTGGAAATTGAAACAAAATACTTATCAGTATATTAAAGAGTAACAAGGTAATATTTATATAACTGTGATTATTATTTTTTCAACAACAAGAAACAAAATATAGCATCAAGGTTTCTTGGGAATAGTTGACATAGTAAATAGTCAAATATTTATAGCTATCAATCATACAAGTCATTATTATTTACATTAAACATATTTTTTGTAAAAAAAGATTAAATTACGAGTAAAATAAATAAAATAAACATATATATATAACCTTATACTTTCCTATGGTTCGATAACAAAACAATGAGAGTATATACCCCGTCTGGCTGGTTTGTTTATTATATTTTATTCAAAGCTACAAGAGTGTTACAAGCTGTATTTAATTTTGAAGTGACAGAAAGCAACTAGCTAGTCAAACCAACTCATGGGCTATTCTTCTCAGACCAAAGTAATAGCTGATTTTCACTATTATAATCCACCCATGGCTCCAAAGTGCAATTTTAATTTTGTGGTAATCGAGTGCAAACCACAGAACTTCAGCTCCACAGTTTGGCACCCTGACCTCTGGGCAGTGCTTATCCACTTCATCTGGTCAAAAGAGCTTACAGAAAATTTTAAGTAAACACCTTCAAATGGTAATATGAAATAAATAAATACTTATCAGGGTGGTTACATTCTTTACTAATTTACAGGTGAAATTGGAAATCTCAACTTGAACAGCACCTGATGGGTTAATGGTCAGTTCAGAGACTATAGGGTTCATGTATAGCCATCCCTAATCTTGAACTACTGACCAAATAAAAGACAGAGCTTGCAGCTTACACAGCTAGATGAGTTTTGTCCCACTCTTTGAACTAAATAACAACTTAAGAATATACTTACTTAGATTAAAATCATCTTGAGATTTGACAACCTTTTTTCAAATTCCCTGATTTCTCTAGGTTTTACAAGACACCCTGTATATATATTTGAATTACTTCTCATGTTTAAGTCCTTCACAGATAATTTTATCATTATCATATCTGGCTCAGTGAAAAGAGAATAAATAAACTATTACATGCTTTTATTTAAGACATGTATAGCCAAATCATGGACATGAAAAATAATTTACAAGTTGTCAGTATGGTAACAAAGATAAAGAGTAATTAATTATCATGGATATTTGGGTGTAATCTGTTAAGAATATATTACATGAAACCCATGATGCCAAGCATGGTTTATAAATGTAATCCACAAAGTGCAAAAATGTAGAGTAGAATAAATCCATTGCACTGTCATATGCCATAGCTGAAATTTCTACTAATTTTACCTTTCTATAAATAGTCAACAATAGATCTGTATTCAGGTATATTCATATAATTTCTAAACTTCGTGAAGGTGTTATGAATGTAGTTGTGAAATTCATGTTATATGACCATCAAAAAGTCATAAATATATGTTAATCCTTTTACTTAGGTAAAGTTTATATACAGCAACAAATAGAAACTAATATCAAGTAGCTAGGCCTACATCTGTCTCCATTTATTGGGTGTGGGGTAAGCCCATCTCAAGGAGTGATACAGATACTTGTATCAACTGGGAGTTTTCTTCACTGTCTGCTTTATTAGAAACAGTCAGCGATGTATGTAGTTTAAGGTAATGGGATTCCACACTTGGACCCTTTGTCTGATTTGAAAGAGTGATATATCATAATTCTAGCTGTCCTTGCTATATGTAAACTAGTTTGGAAAACTTCTCTCCACCCAAGCAGCAAATTAAAGTCACGATGGAATTTGAAAATTGAGCCAATCGGTGACAAACACAGCTATTATTGTGAACAAAGATATGTTTTATTTGTTCACTTGTGTCTGTTTGTTTTTCCTTTTCTGTCTGCATATGATTTATTCTTTGCACAACATTTCTTGAATCTGGTTATGCAGATACTTTAAGCTTATCTGTTGGACATCAATGTACCTGAATACCATAAATGCATGGTTACTTCAAATAACACTTGAACAAAAAGTGTCAATTTCTACACTCATGCAAATACTTCATCTAGAAGTGAAAACAATTTGTTCATTTATTATTAATGGGATATTTTACTTTAGAGTATCACTGTTCAGTAACAAATAACCAGAATACTGTGCTTAATTCATTCATATTTTAGCACTATAGGTGCTAATATCTGAAACATTGAACGACTGTCTTGATTAAAGTAACTAGAACTTGAAGCAGGATCAGTGATTACATGTAGAAATCAGAATAACCTTGATACAAGACAAACATATTAAAAACAATACCAAATACACATTTTCTTTTTTTAAAAAACAAGAATTTTATGAAGCTTTGCTTCATAAGGACACCACAGTTTTGTTCAATTTCAAAATACCTACGACTCTTTCAAACATAATGAAAGTTACAAAAGATGACTAGTCATGTTCCGTGAAGGTGCATAACATACAGGAATAATGATGTTGATGATAATTACTGTATCATGCAAATAACATTTCATAAGCAAGAAAACATCACATTAATATTTAATATATGTGGATCACTTATTTGGATTCACTGAAAATTGAAATTAACATGTGTTGTTCTACCACACCATATAAATATTACATAAAAATTAAGTCTTGTAGTAGCAATCTATTTGCAGTACTGAACCTAAGTCAAATAACTGTTGTGAATAATTTTGATTATTTATTTATTTATTATTTATTTCATTTGTGATATTTATAACAGATAACACATAGTTTATGTACTAATAACTATTGAGAAAACAGTGAAAACTAGAATCTGAAATTAATGTAAAATAATTTGAAAAGCTCATTGGTAGTAATTTAAACATTCCATTATTATATGTTTAAACTTCCCTTGAAGAAATCTGAAATTATTGTAAAATAATTTGAAAAACTCATTGGTAGTAATTTAAGCATTCCATTACTATATGTTTAAATTTCCCTTGAAGAAATCTGAAATTATTGTAAAATAATTTGAAAAACTCATTGGTAGTAATTTAAACATTCCAATATTATATGTTTAAACTTCCCTTGAAGAAATCTGAATACCTTTGAGAAAAAAAGAAAGAGGTTTGTTAGTCAAAACAAAAGAATTTTAACTTTGAACAACCAACATACAACTTCAAGCTTATATTTCAGATGAATGAATGACAGCACACGTAAATACCTCAGTTTAAACAAGACATCACACGATTACCATACCTTAAACTATGTGAATTATTATATCTCCTCATGTATATGTATATATATAATATCTCAAGCATTCATTCCATTGTTTACAAGTTACACTCATTTTGTTCCACAAACTTCCTGTCATTTAATGTTGCAGACACAAATACCCAAGACCAATTCTCAAAATTCAATACAGCTATTGAAAAACAAATGTGTGTTTATTATTGAATCTCGACATTTATGAGTCTGTACATTAGCAAATACATTACTTTTTCCTGAATAAAATTTCCTGATCTAATCATAAATGTAACATCAAGTGTAAATATTAATCCATATTATCATCTAAGAACAAATTTTCTGCTCTCATTTGTGTATAAGTTATTATGCGTAATATTTGTCACTGCAAAAATGTAGATTTTTTAAATCTTATGAAGTACCTTGCCACTTCTGAATGATATGTTAGAAAAACATGAAGGAGATTTTAACATTTCATCCCTATCTTTCGTATTGATACTCCTTTATACACAAAATAACTTACTCAGCAATAGGGTAGACTCATCCGTTACACTAGTTGTTCTTCGATGTTAAATATATATATATCTATACCTATTACTGATTTTATTATTTACAACTGAGTCTTCATGTTACAGCACCAGTTGAAATGTGTAGGAACAGTTCAAGACTCGGAACTATTGTGATTTTCATTGTCCGAACGATATGAATTAGCACTGATGGGATCTTTACTTGTGGTATTTCCTCGATTTTTATCACCTTGGTGTTTGGTTGTAGACTTTGAAGCTTTATTTTCAGAAACATTTTGTGGTTGAACCTTCTGAAGGCGTGCACGTACAATTTTTAGGTGACGTTGAATGTAATCTTCTTTTGGAGCTAGGCTGGCTGCCTGTTGGAGACAGAGTTCACCCACCACAAGTTGTCCACGCTCCACGTACACCACACATAAGTTGTGTTTGGCCTGAATGTTGTTAGGATCCATCTGAAGAATTCTGGTGTAACACTGATTATACATAAAAAATCTAAAGCTTAATGGAAATAATAATAACAATAATGATATCTACAAGTAGATTCATTTAATGTAAAATCGTGTTCTAACAACAGTAATTTCATTGTAATAAAATTAGAAACATCAATCTATCAGTTAAACTGAATAATAATGCTACAACTTTGTTTTCTCTTTTTTTCTACAGAACTGCATCAATATTTTACCAACAAAATTTTGTTAGTACAGTGCAAAAGATATTAAACCTATACACATGAAAAATATATATTTTTGACTCAAAGCTCAATATAGAATTGCCTTGTACTCAACCTAGCTACATATCAGCTTATAACATTAAGCTAAATAATTTATCCAATGATTTCTACTTTCTCTATAGAATTTATCCATTACTAGAGATACCAGACATCTCAGAGAAACTGAGATCATGCTTGTTGGTTGGTTGTTTGGTGCTTTATGGTGCAAAGCATGTCAATAAAAGATTTATACATAATTAAAAAGACCTATAGTGTGTAAAAAATTAAAAATACAATCTAACCATTACCAATAACACTGTCCAATGTCAGGGGTAAACTCTTAGAAAACATGTGTCTAAAATGGTGCCGCCTCTCACGGTCGTAACGATGGCATGACAGTAAAATGTGGGCTATTGTGACTTGAGTGTCAAAATGGCTACACATCGGTGGGTCAATACCTGACAAAAGAAAATGAAGGGTTAAAAAACTATGACCAATGCGTAGCCTTGCCAGGACTACTTCCTCCTTCCGATCCTTACAGAAACAAGACGGCCAAAGAGCAACAGAAGGTTTGATCTTGAAAAGCTTGTTATAGCATTGCTCACCCCAAGTCGACTGCCAACTGGCATGAAGCCGCGCCTTGAAGACAGGACCGTAGTCCATGTATGGAACAGGCATGGCCGTGATGGCACCAGAGCAGACGGACTTAGCTGAGGTGTCAGCAAGCTCATTCCCGTAAATACCGACATGGCCAGGGATCCAGAAAAACTGGATGGAAATAGAAGACAGAGAAAAGTGGGCCAATCAGTGTTGAATATCGACGAGAACAGGGTGAGAACTAACATTAAGCGGTTCCAGCACCAGTAGAGAGCTAAGACAATCAGTGTAAATAGTACAATTACTGTACTGCATAGCTTCTACATGATCCAGGACAAGAGAAATAGCATACAACCCGGCAGTGAACACAGAAACTGTAGAGGGGATCCTTTTTTGAGCAATTACCGAGCCACAGCACACCATGGCAGAACCTACAGAGTCACCCGATTTCAAACCATCCGTGTAAATAGGGAGAAAAGAATGGC